CAACCATTAAGAGCATGGACTGCTCTTACAAAGGACTCACTCCCTCTTCTGACCTCATGAGTGCACACATGCTCACACATACACACACGCACGTGTGCACACACACATACACACACACTAAACAAACATAAATAAATAAATAATAAAATTATATATGTATTTTTGAGACGGGTGTAGTTCTGGCTGTCCTGGAACTTACTTATGTAGACCAGATTGGCTTCCAACTCACTTACCTGTCTCCCAGGTGCTAGGATTCCAGCATGTGCCACCATGCCTGGCTTTAAAATAAATATATTTTTTAAAATATTTATTTATTTATTATGTATACAATGTTCTGTCTGTGTGTATGCCTGCTGGCCAGAAGAGGGCACCAGATCCCATTACAGATGGTTGTGAGCCACCATGTGGTTGCTGGGTGAACTCAGGACCTTTGGTAGAGCAGGCAATGCTCTTAACCTCTGAGCCATCTCTCCAGCCCTAAAATAAATATTTTTGAAGTCACATATCGGGGCTGAAGAAATGGCCCAGTGGTTAAGAGCAGAGGACTGGGTTTGGTTCCCAGTACCCACATGCTGGTTCTTAACCATCCATATGAGAGCTGATGCCCTGTTCTGACCTCTACGGGCACCAGGTGTGCATATATGGTAAGGACATACACGTGTAGGCAAAGCACTCATTCGCACAAAATAAAGTAAGTAAAGTTTAAAAAAAAAGCCTATTTTTCTGTTTTCCACTCTGTTTTTTTCAGTTTAGCCTAGCTATAAACGTGTGGTCGCTAAGGCACCCTAGTGGACTTCCAGTTCTGCTACAGAAATGCAGAGGGACAGGTGACAGCCATAAAATAAAAAGTTTTACCTTGGGACGGACATCCAAATTTAATAAATGAATCAGAACTCTAGTCTTGCTATTTCAAGGAGCGATTAACAGATTTTCTCCAAATTTGGAGGCTATGTGTGTGGCATGGGCTTCAGTGCAGACAGGCGGCACCGGCAGCCCCGTCGAATGAAGCAGGAGTCCCTGGGAGCTGGCACTGCTTGCTGTCTTGGGTCTCTACTGCGGCTTGCTGAGTTCTCCCCTAGGCACTCGTGAAGTGAGGACAGCCACCAGAGGTGTGTGAGCCTTACGGGCACACCAGCTCGTAGACCCAGGGACTGTGTCTTGCACAGGTGATGTGTGCCTCACAGAACAGCAGCCTGTGTGTTTCAGGAATTACAATAATGGATAATGAAATTCAGTTGGGACGTCAGATCCCTAAAATGTCTGTTTTTGTTGTTTTTGCCAAGAGGCTAATTTTCCAAAGGTATAAGTTATCAAGAAAAGCTGTCTATGAGCCAAGGTGATCCCCTGAGAGGAGACACTTCACCAGCAGAGAGATTGTGGGTCTAGAGAAGGGACTCCGAGGTAAAGATGGCAAGCCCCTGGGGACAGGTACACCTGCACAGGCCAGAACTTGCTTCTGTTGGGCCAGCTCTGACATCAAGCCCCCAGACAAGAGCCCCAACCCTCAGCAAGGAGACACCCACAAGATGTTGGCCCTGGCTAGAGAGCTGTTCCCTAATATAGTCCTTCCCCCTCCCCAACTGTACCTGCTTCTGGATCTGGTTCACCTGAGTTGAGCCACGGAGCCCTTGTGAGCTGGAATAGATTGGGGACAGCTGGAGGCCACACTGACTTCACCATGCCTCATACCGCTGTCTTCCCAGGAGGCCTGTGGGCCTTTGCCACCTGGTGCCAGATCCTTGGTGATCCTCCCCACCCCCAGCCCATAGGATGGGGCGCTCCTGGCAGGCACAGTTCTCCTGGCACCTGGGCTGGGACCTGCCTCAAGAGCCCCATCATCACCTATGTATTTGCTCAATGGAAGAAAAGCTTCGAAACTAGCCCGGAGCCCAGATTTCCTCCCCTTTTATTAGGCGCAGCTTTCAAAGTCTTTAATTAATGAGGAAGGGTCTGGAGAGTCAGAAAGGCCAAGCTAGAGGAGAAAAGAGACACCGGGAAAGTTCAGCCTACAGCTGCAGCTAATGTCTCATCCCTGCCTCAGGAAATCCTGTGGCTCCATCTAGTGGCCGCCTGGTCCAGTCTCAGCACTAACCCAGCCTGGGGGTGAGTCTTTTCCAGCTAACAGGGTCAGCTAGAATATACTTCAACTGTCATTGCCCAAAACCACCAGGGTACAAGTCTCTCCTAGACCCACATCCAGACTGCAACGTAGGGACAAATTGGAAGTGAAAATGCCTCTGCTCTTCCCTGGGGGAAAGCCAATGTGGCTAAAATTTCTTCCTGGAGAAGACAAGAACAATTATCTCCTGCTCCTCCTAAGATCTCAACCATAAACTAGGGAGTGGGTCCAGTAAAGTTCATGGGGGAGGATCCCAAAGAGCACATTAGGCTTACTTTCACAGCAATGGTTGAGGGACTGGGCGGGGGGGTGGGAGCATGGGTGAAGGGTTTGCACCCAGCGGGGATGATGGCTTCCCTGTAGCTGTGTAGCTGGCGCTCTAGTTCTTCCGTGACACTATGAGGTCACACGCAATTTTGATCAGAATTGCATACACCTGGATGGGAGGGTAGCCGGATACGGAGGTGAGGGTTCCACGATACTCTCCTCCTCCAAGAAGGATGGCCAACAGCCCAGATGGAATGAGGCTTAGTAAGCAGACTCAGTTGGACTCCTAAAGATGGTGTCGGTTTGCCTCAGAGGACAGTCATGCATAACCAGCTTTCTCCCAAGGTCATCGGGCTCAAAACAACAATGGAACTAGATAGCACTCCCCACATTGTGCCTGGAGTGTGAGCAGCCCACTGAGGAAGAAGGTCGCCCTCTCTGTGAGCCTGAGGCTATGTGGTTTATAAACCTTCACTAACCCCAGACGTGTGGAGAGTGTGTGGAGGGGAGTGTCATATCTAAATGTCAAGTCCAGTTAAGGCATCTTGTGAGTCTAGAGGCTCATATGAAATTCTTCAGCCCCCTGTCCTGAAGTGGCCTGGAGTCATCTAGTACTCAAGGACCCTCCCTAAATGCTTCTGTGTCACCAGACAAGCTCCCCATGCCATCTGGTATAGCGCCATTTCTGGGAGTTCACTAAGAGAGGCAACAGCTCTTAAGGTCTTTAACAAATTTCCTGGAAGTCCCCAATATCCTATATCTTGGAGCACAGAAAGGCTGACAGCCTCTCTTGGTGAATTCCTGGCTAGTGGGCGTCTGTACTCGTGCCACACCCCATAAAACACCTCCACTTCAACAATAAGGAAGTCAGATGGATCCTGCACAAGGGTCCAGGACCCTGCATGAGGCTATGCTCTCAATTTGACCTATATGTCCCAGTCCTTCTACCGTTTTGGGGAAGACGCCTGTCAGCACCTCCTGGATCACACTGTAAGATCTAAAGAGAGTCTCTCTTTCATATTCCTGCCCATCCAGACTCTCAGCTCCTATTTTTGTTGTAATGGTAAGACCCTTCTCCCAGGTTGCTCAGCAGCTCCTGGGGACTCTCTTACCTCAGGGCTTTTAGGCTAGCCCCTGACTTTATGGACAGACCCTAGCAAGAGACCTGCCATCCCCTAAATTTCACCCCAGAATTAGCCGCGTTCCATACATACATCGTTAGACACCATCATCACTCTCCAGAAACAAGCCTCATGTATATTAAAGGGTTCTTTTTAAAGGCTCAAATGTCTTCACCAAAGGCTCAGGTCTGGGACCAGCTGGACTGTGTAATGATTCATGCATTAATGATCTCATTTTAACTACAGAGATTCCAGTCACAAAAATAATAACCACAGACACTCTTGGGACAGCAGGATTTTTGCTGAATTTGGATTCTCTATCTAGTTCAGCCAAATAGCTAAACCTTTCTATGCAGTCTTCAGGGAACCAGAGAAAGCTGTTAGTTTGGACCCCTGAGATGACATGGGCCTCAGACCTCCTAAAATTCACCCAAGCATCAGATCCCCCAATCATAGTAAACCCTCTTCATTAGGCTTTTGAGTGAGAGAGCGCGGAGCACTTGGAGTTCTAACCCAAATTCTGGGGCCCTCACGGTGCGTAGTAGGTTATCACACGAAGTCATGAGATCTGGTGATATGGGCACTGGCTCCCTTGCCTCAGGTCCCCAAAAGCTTTTTAGATCAAGACTTCATACTCACCCAGAAAGGGTGCTTACAGTTCATCTCCTTCAACCCTCCACAGTGGACCCTGGGGACCAATGAGGGATCAGAGAGGGAATAACCAGGTCATTGAATGAAGAGCGTTGAGTGTACAAGTGTCAAACACATGGTGGTGTTTGGGTCACAGCCAGAACGAGGTGCCTCACTTGGTCTCACATGGCTTCACCCTGTACCATCTCATCCTTATCTTGCCCACCCCCCCTTGTCAAGGCAGCCAGCATGGAGACTCTAGAACTGTGCTGTTCCTGCAGCAGCAGTTGCGGGAGGTGAAGAGGAACTTGGGCCCTCTCCGTCTCACCTCAGCCTCTCTTATTCTAAATTTCATTCAACTCTTAGAAGCCTCAAACTTCTCTCACAGCAGAGTAGGTTTTTAGAGCCTTATTTTTGCTAAGACATGTCCACAGGCTGAAAAACAAGAAGGTTGAGGACCACAAAGAGGCCCGAGTGACGGCAAAGCGTGAGTAGAGCCGACAGGAGAGGTGTACTCCTCCCTGTAAGTCCTCCTGAGGTGAGCATGCAGGCCACACATCACCTAGGTGTCTGCGATGTCCCCAAATCTCCCCTTTCCAGCCCACGGGGCAGATGCACAATTGCAGGAAAGATGCAGATATTCAGCGGGTGCTACTGGGCCCGTGCAGGTGCACACACTTCCTGCCTGTGCTTGCTCTCGCTCCTCACAAGCCTAAGGGAGAGGTTAGTCATAAGAGCCAGTCGCAGGAACATGTGATTTTTTTTAATTATATTACAAAAACAAAAATTCCCACCAAAACACAGCTAAAAAAATAACACATTTTTCTAAGATGACATTACCCAAAACAGTGACTAGCGTCGTTGGACTACATCCATCAATACTGCCTGGAGAAGCATGTCGTTACACTGGAAATGGACAGTTTGGTTTTGGTTTTTGTCCCCTGTCTGAAATGCTGTTCTAAGTAGCAACTTTTGTCCCTTGCAGGATTCTCACACGGGGATCCAGGGCTGGTGCTGCAAGCTCAATGCCGTGACCTCAAAGCAGCCCCACCCAGAGCTGTTAGCTGGGGCAAGCAGTGCAGGAGGACCATGAGAGAGAGCTGTTAGCTGGAGGCACGGAGCTTCCTGGGACCACAGAGGCTGATGTGTGGCATGGCTACTTGTCCAGCCTCGAGGTACCCGCAATTGCTCAACAGCTGTCTCCAGGTCACCCCCAAACTCACTCCCGGTCTACCACATCAGCGCTCCGGGAATCCTGGTGACTGAAAGATTGGCTTTCTCTTGCTCTCTGTGTTTTGCAGAACAGAGTTTATTTTGGACCCAAAGGCCGGTTCCTGGAGAGCTACACGTGTTCTCAGCATGGCAAGGCTTGCTCCTGTGACATTTATTCTCTGGAGATAGTCCGTGGGGGTTCCCTTCAAGTGTGGCAGATCCTGAAGGCTCTTGAGGCAGCTTTGGCACTTGAGGCACTCTGAGGAGACACATAGCTCTGAGTCCTCAGATGGGTTCTTTCCTGTTGACAGCCACCATTAAATAAGTCCTCCTAACCCTTCTCAGGAGCATGAAGTGGGGTGCTTAGGATGGCTCCTCCTGGACAATGCCTGAGATATACTTGTGTAAGACCCCGGAACTCAAGCACTTCTCAGTGGGGCTCACAGAGCCGTGAGTGAGGATACAGTATGCTATGCTATCCCTGTGCTACCTCAGTGTAGATCCTGAGGTAGCATAGGGCTGTGTGTGCCTCGGGAGTGTCACCCACCTCTACTGTGACCTGACGCCGTAGGCAGGCAATGCAGTCTGTCTAGCCTTGGTTTGCTCCTCTGTGCAACAAGAAGGGTATACTTGCCCTCGCTTTGTGAGGTGTGTTAGTATATGCCAGGATGGCCACTTCCTTCACCCAAGAAGTTCTAAGCCAGCGGCTGTAGCTGCTGCGGACCATCTGGGTGCAGGCCTGCTTAGGACCTCCTCCCCTAGGCTAAGCTGTCAATGTCTGTCCAGTTGGAAGAGCCTACATGATCAGCTGATCTCTGGCAACCCGGTGCCTGCACCTACCCTGAGTGCACCCAAGCCCCGCCCCTCAGAGGCCCACAAAGTGTGGTGTGGGTGATAGCAGCCTGAAGTTTGCAGAGCCCGCTAAGATTGGCAGTGTCTGCTCCTGTGCTCCCAGGAGGCAGCCCAATAGGAAGCCAGTCCTGGTGGTGCTGACTGTGTTACCATCCCATTGTCTTCACCGCCTCTGTTGGGCCATGCTAACCAAAGCCAGGCCGAAGGGGAATGGCTGGCCGCGCAGAGTCTGGGCAGCGCATCAGGCTTTATGGCATCAGGGGCTCCCTGTGGTCCTCCATTCCTGCAGGAACTGCCAGGGCTCTCGCTGCAGGAGTTCACAGTTTCTGGCAGGCAGAGAGAGCTCCGTTGGCTGAGTATAAGCAGGAGCTGTCTCTCCAAGGCCACTCTGTCCTTGGGGTACACCATGAGGGCTGAAGCCCCCAGCAGCTGCCCCGGTTCCCCCCATGGGGATGAGCTAGCATTTAGGCTGGGCAGGACAGATGTTCTTCTCACAGCTGGACTTTGACCTGCCCTCCCACAGCTGTGCTCTCTCTTACTGTCCCATCCAACCATCCTGGCAACAGACAGTCGGTTTTCCTAGGCTTGCTGACAACAGTGTATGGAAAAGCCAGGAATGCACTAGGTTGATCACAGAAAGGAATGCTGGGAAAGTTAGAGTGGTGGGGGTGGGAGGAAGAAAGCAAGTTGACCCATCAAATAGAAAGAGTAACATTTTATCAAATATTGAAAATTCAATTTTCAATAGTCTGAGTCCCACTGTCCCTCTGTCTGCTGAGAGAGGTCCATAGAGAGGCCGTGGCCAGCATGTTTTGGGTGCTGGCTGAGTGTTGATGCCAGAAGCTTCCCCTGGTCCTCCAGCCTCCCCTGGACTCTGATTTTGTTCTGGGCAGGAGACTCAGGGGACCAGCAGAATGGCATACATGAGGGACCGATCCATCCCCACATCCTACAGAGGCTGTCTCCAGACTTCACCTTCAAGACACAGTTTGGAATCAACCTGCAGAAGACATGGTGGCCGGGCCGCTCACAGCTAGCAGGAACAATAAGACGCCAGAATACTTTGCGGCAGAGGGTGAGTGAGAAAAGGCTCTCGCTCTGTTCTGGAGATGGCAGAGTCTTCAAGAAAGAACGGGCGTAGAGAGTGGGTACGGGCATACCTACCCACAAAGGGACAGCCCCTGTCTCAGCCTTTGGCCCACCACCTGCCTCGTATCCATGTAGGTAGGGCAGTTCCAGAAGTTTCCTAGGGGCAGTTCATGACTGCCATTCCTTCGGAAACGGCGCCTGGCAAAGGGCCCTTGCTGTTTCCGTGGCTACAGTTGAGGGGTCCTGCTTGCCAGGGCGGTTTCTCACAGAGGAAGGAGAAGGCCCGGCCCTCAGTGGCTCTCTGTCTCTGTGAACTCCTCTTTGATGGGTTGCTTCCGAGACTTGCAGTCAGGCAGGTCAAAGCCAAAGTCTGCCCACTCGTCGGGGCCTGTCACCCCACCTGGGCCTCCGCGGTTTGGGATGGTGATGGTGTGGCGTACGCGGAAATGGACAGCTTCCATGACGCGCTGCCGCTGAAGCTCTCCAGAGCCACCGATGGAGATCGTGGCCGCATTGCTGCTGGTGCGAAGCAGCTGCTGCCCGCAGTCATGGCTCTGCTTCAGGTCCTGCAGGCCCCTCCAGATGGTCATGCGGTACTGATCAGGGATTTTCAGGGCCCCGAGGTCCTGCGGGAGTGATGGACACCTTGTGGTCATAAAAGAGAAACTACAGGGTTCTGTGTCCCCCACACCAGAGACATCCTACCTGCAAGGAAGCTTCTGACTTATTAGGACACGGCAATATGGGTGACAGAGCAGCCCAGAGAGGGACAGCATCAGGGTCACCTGCGCACGCACAGCGTCTAGCCACATGGTTTTGTAGGACAGCTAAAGGACGTGTGGGAGTGTCGAAGGGGACCGTGATGAAGGCCTCTCTGGGGGCCGCATGCAGCCTGGAACATGGATCACAGTGAGAACAGAGATGGGGGCCTAAGGAACCACCTGTCTCTTGGCCCCAGGCTGCCCCTTGGCACCCATTAGTTGGCAGCGGCTCCAGGCTCATCCCTTAGCTTCAAGCGCATGAGTCTCCCTAGTGAGGCAAGGGTTAATATGTGACTCTAGATAGAAGGAAAGCAGTTAGTGGTCACACAGATGCGGGTCGTCAGGCACCAGCCTCACTGCCTCTGATAAGTCTCTGTATCCAGCCTGGGTCCCTGGGCAGGCGGCAGATATGGACTGTCCTCTAATTTAGGCGGGAGTCTAGGAAATAGTTATAGGAGGGGCAGGAGGGACTGAGATGATGCCCCCAGGCCCTGAGGCTGTGTCCCATGGACAAATCAAGGCTGGCTGTGTTACTGGGCTGTACTCAGATGCTGGGGCTCCAGTCTTGATGTCCAGCACCCTTCTAGTCCACACCCAATCCAGAATGTTCTGTGTTGTATGTGTAGGCTGGTCTTTGGGCCCCGTTTATTCTTTCTGGGCCTGTCCTCTCCTGGCTCCTGCACTTGTTAACCACTGGGTCCTGGAAAAATCCCAGCCCCCCAAATTAAAGGTAGTTTGGCTGCGGCACCAGGGGGCTTTAACAAAAGAGAAAGCCCTCCAGGTCACCCCCAGGGACCAGAGCACATGTCCACCCAGCCTCCTTCAAGTCACCTGAGCCTGTTTTGGCTTCTAAGACCCAGAATCTGATTGTTTGTGGGAAAGGCTCTGGGAGTTCCCCCGGCTTGCCACCCTAAATGGCGCACTCTACTCTGCCTTGGGCCAGGCCCTCCATCCCTTTGGGGAGGTCTGCCGGTGTTTACCTCTATGGTGAGGTTCTGCAGGTGGTAGATGCTCTGTAACCCTTGGGAGGTGAAACATTCGATGCAGTTTGGACACCCCAATCCTGTTAAAAAACTGCAGAGAGAATTTGAGAAGATAGCATTAACTCCCATTGCTAGGCTGTGTGCTCAGGTCTCCCAGGAGTAAGAGGTCTTGCTAGGGAGGGAACTGTCCATTGCAGTGGCAAAGCCACTGGTCCCTTGGAGCAGGTATGGCCAGCCATCAGTGTCTCAGCCTAGGAGGCCTGGCTCAAGTGCCCTTCTTCCCAAGGTTCTGTGCCAATACCTGCTGATGAGCCCCGACACATCCGACCGTCTTAGCCTGTCTTCCTTTGGGGGCAGGCCAAGCAATTCAAACACAGAATAAAACAGAGCCACATGCAAGGCTGCTCCTCCAGAGCAGGAACCCACAGTTAGTAGCAGGTGAGGAAGAGGGGGTGCAGCACAAACCCAGGTCCAGACATGGCCCACACACCTGACGAGGCTTGGGTCTGCGTGATAGGGGGGTGGCGGGGTGCAGTGTGACCCCGAAACCATGGTCTGGGAGCCGTGGCCGCCGTTCATCTCACCATTGGCTGTCATGGTGTGGCTGTGACTGTTGAGCATCCCGGAGCCTGGGCAAAAGAATGATGGAGGAATCTGAGAGCAGCTCCACACGCGGTGGGAAGTGTCCCAGGTTAGGATCCAGCCTGGTAAGGGCTGTCTGAGGCTGAGCAAGGGCTGAACCCATAGGCCCAACTCTTCTCCTCAAGAGGTGGAAGTGGGACGTGGCTGTGTACAGGGCACTTAGTTTAAATGAGCCAGGGATTAGCAGCTGGCGTATGGGTGTTACCAGGTTCCAGGGCCCTTATGGGGGACACCCCTGGGCGTATTGCCAGAAGCGTATCCATTAATGTCCATGTAAAGACCTTACAGAGGAGACCCACATTCCAGCCCGCCCGGCTGTGATGCCTCATGTCCTATAATCTTTCAAATGAGGGGACTTGGTGTTGCCATTTTGCTAATGGAGAAACTGAGGCAGAGTGAAACTAGGGATTATCCTCAAGAGGGATGATAGGCCAGGCAAAGCCCCAGACATAGGACTCCTGGGACTAGAAAGAAGACAGCCAACCTCCCTATGGCCATTGCCCTTCTCCAGGCTGAAGTGGCAGGGAAAGCAACCTTCAAGAGTTCCCCACCAGTCCTGTTTATGATCCTGGTAAATCCAACCAGTCCCCCCCTTGGGTCTCTGCAGCCCACACGAGGTGTCCTCTGCTCTAGGGACTCACCCATGGGTCCCAGGTTGGGCCCAGCTGCCGAGCTGTGTGGTGGAGGCTGGCCCACCAGCTGGTTGACGGAGGGCAGCTTGTTGACGCCACCATGTACCTTGTTTATCGGGGAGAGGACGGGCCCATAGGATGACGACTGCAGGTGACTCCTGCTTAGAGAACAACAGCATACATTCCTAAGAGGTAAAAGCAACTCCTTTCTCACCTGGCACTTCTGCGGACATCCCTGGATGCAGGTAGATGAAGACCCCGCCTTTCAGAGAGCTACCAGGAAGATGAACACCTCACCAGCAACGCCAGCCCCGCCTGCCCACTCCTGATCAACATTTACAAGGCCCATAGAAGGCAGAGGTGCGGTTAAGGTGGGGGCTAAGTCCTAGAAGGCTAAGTTCCTGGAGAAGATGCCTCTGAGCACTGAGCTGCCTTGGTCCTACTGTGCACCATACCTCCCGGGCTCCTGGCCTTCTCACTGCTGGGTCAGAATATCCACACTTCCCTATCCAGATGGTGGGGTTCACTCACGGCCTCTGTAGGAGCTGCTGCTGCTGCTGCTGTCGATAGGAGTCGACCAGAGGCTGTGGTACAAGTTCCATCAGTTCGAGGCTCTCCTTGACTTTCATCAAGATCTCAAAGTTCTCCCGGCCTCGCACCTGAGCACAGAGAGGCAGACCCTTTGCCCAGGTGCCCGGGAGCCTCCCCTGGCTCCATGCCTCTGGTGGGAGGGGGCAGCCGGAGTCTTAGGAGGAACCCCGGGTTTGTGGCAGAGTGTAGCTCTTCTCTCAGGGTCCCCTTGCACTCCAGAGCTCAGGACAACTTGGCTTTCTTTCCTCTGCCCAGAGGCAGATGCAGGAAGGGGGTTTGCAGGGGTTCAGAGTTCCATGCCCAATCTTCCCACTAAGAGGCTCTCCTCTTCCTCCTCCCATCTGGCAGCTATAGGCAATAGGACCCATGCTCAAGGAAATAGAAAACGTTCTCTCAGAACCCTCCATGACCTTGCCACCATCCAGTGTTCTCTGAGTCACACAGGCTGTGCCCGGTAGGATCATGAATTCCTACTGAATCTCCACCATGGGGGTCTCCTGGATGCAGAGCTAACCTGGCTGGCATCGTCACACTCACTGAGTTCGGGCACTGCAGAGTCTGACTCTGAGCAGAGCCTCCTTTGAACCCCATCTCCTTCAGGGTCATAGTCTCCACCCCAGCTGCCTAGATGCCACCTTTGCCCATCTCTGTGGCATCTGGAAATTGCCCACCTGGGCTTTCCGGTAAGGGGCACCCCCAGGCCTTGTCCTCCCCAGCTCACTCTGACAGTCACTCACATGCATGTAGAACATGTCCTCATCCCCATTCCTCCTCTTCTTCACGTTAGCGCCCAGGGCCGGGATGGCTGGAGGGCTCTGCTTGAATGCTGGGAAGCAAGTCAGGAAAGACATGAGTCAGAGGGCCAAGGTGCCCAGGTGAACACCTGCCACAGGTGGAGCATGGGTACAGTGCAAGCCTAGGCCAGATGGAGCTGGGCCCAGAGTCGCCTGGCCCTGGCCTTCGAGCACAGAGACAAAGGAACTGTCTTGGGTTGGCTTGGGTTGCACTTGCCCTGTTCAGCCAGAGGCCTCTAGGCCCAGGCCACTGAGACCCAGATCCATCCCACGGATGTGAACATGCTTGGTGTCTTGGTGTCTTTCTGCCGTGGCACGCCAGCTCACACCCAGCACATCCAACTCCATCCTGAGGGATGACCCGCCCTCCACCCTGGCCCAGAGCCCCACGCACCACGTTTACTGGCAGCCCCGTTCTTCGTGGCGCTCTCATTCAGGGCCTGCTGCTCGCGGTAGTGGTCTTCATCGGCTTTGCGGTCACGGCCAGGACAGGCGCAGATGCGACCCTCGAAAGACCGGCGGCCCAGAACCTGTCCACTGTAGGGTGGGCGCAGCACAATGGTGAACTCCTGATCAATCCCACCCCCTGCAGACCCCACAGGACTGGCCTTGGACTTGAGTGCCCTCCGAGGAGAGCAAGCCCTCTCTGTGTCCATGACATGCCCCCCACAGTGCTGGCCCAAGTCCCTGCCCCACCCCTACCATCCTGGCACCGCAGACTCACTCCCGGGTCTCCAAGGTGATGATAACGAGGATAGGCCTCCGGTTCATGCCCCCTACGCAGCTGCTGTTACACATGAAGTTGTACAGGATGGTGGTGAATTCTGTCCCCACCTGTGCACAGGGGAGACAGGGAAAGGGCTTGGCTTCAGTATGCAGAGCCAACCAACTGGAAAAGGGACTTCTAGCTGTCATGTCTGGCCCTGGTTCTAGATAGGTATAGGAGTGATGCACCATGGTTCTCTGTCATCTACCCATCTACCTGCCCAACCACTCACCATCTATTAATCCTGTCTGTGCACTATCCATCCATCTCTCCATCTCTCTGCATCATCTATCATCCATCCATCTACTCATCCATCCATCTACTCATCCATCTACTCATCCATCCACCCATCCATCTACTCATCCATCATCTATCCATCCATCCTTCCATCCACTCATCCATCCATCCATCCATCCATCCATCCATCTCTCTGCATCATCTATCATCCATCCATCCATCCACTCATCCATCCATCCACTCATCCATCCATCCACTCATCCATCCTTCCATCCACTCACCATCTATTAATCCTGTCTGTGCACTATCCATCCATCTCTCCATCTCTCTGCATCATCTATCATCCATCCATCCATCCATCCATCCATCCATCCACTCATCCATCCATCCATCCATCCATCCACTCATCCATCCATCCATCCATCCATCCACTCATCCATCCATTCATCCATCCATCTACTCATCCATCATCTATCCAGCCATCCACCCACCCATCCATCCACCCATCCATCCACTTACATGCCTGCCCATCATGCACATATCCAGCCATCCATCTACCTACCCACCCACCCACTCACCCATACACCTACCCCATTCCCTTGCCCGCCAACTTCTCACCCGCCTGCCCGCCCATCCATTTGCTTGCCCATCTACCATCTACTGACCAGTTTACATTCCTGCCCACCCCCCCTCCCGTTCATCACCCACTCACTGGCCTGACTCCCCCCACCTACTCACCCACCCCTCCACCTACACATCTGTCCACTCACTTGAGATTGCCTACCCAGCCACGGGTCCATTCGTGCCCTCATAACACTCTGCTGGCTCTGGGATCAGAGCGCTTGGGAAGTGCAGAGTCTATGGTGCGATTGCCTCAGCCAGCTCCCGTGATACATGGAGGTCAAATCATAAGGCCGTATGTGGGTGTGTGTGTGCGTGGGCTTTTGTGTCACATGTTTGCTGCATGCTCTGGGCTCGTCTGAGCAGAAGAATGAGAGGGACTCCATCCTCAGAATGGAGGAAGTTCCATGGTCTTGCTAGATCAGGACACCAAAACCACAAATGCCAGCCCTTCCCAGAACTTGCACCTGGCAGCCACTAGAGGGCATGAGACTCCCACTTTGTTTACAAGCTTGCTCAGGCGAGACCTCCTGTGAGGATAGGGGAGGAGGCTGGTCCACCCTTGGCCCTGTCCTACTGATACAACAGCTTCCTCAGAGGACCACGGGGCCTGCCAGAGGACCGGGGAGGCCTCACACCAGCACAGCATGAGAGCTGCCTGTCTACAGTCCTCCTCTGAGTCTCCACCCTGGGGCCACAGGCCATCATTCCTGTAGAGCAACTTCCCTCCACCTTGGCCTTTGGCCCCAGCTGGGCCTCATTTCAGATCTAGAATGGTGATCACACACCCCTCCGTTGCCAAAAGTCAACCCCTGCCTCCTCCAGTCTTTCTTCCTTTGACTGCTTTTTGCAACCACCACTTCCAGCCTGGATCCCTCACTTACGTCCAGCCTGAGCCTCCACATCCACCCTGTACCCCATATCTAGCCTGTGCCACCTACCTCCACTATACGGCACCTCCAGCTTGCACCCCACTTTCGAGGCTCTGCACACAGGCCCTCCTAGTCTCACCCTTCACCTCATCTTTCCTGCTCTCCTGAGCCCACGTCCCACAGCTCCAGTCCCCTTTATCATCTTCTATGGTCCCCAGCCTAGTCTAGGGGCCCTTTCATGACCCCAGCTCCCAGCATGGAATTCCCTACCCTCCATCCAAAGCCCTATGCTTGCTGGCTTAGTTTTGTCCTTGCCAACGGAGTCTGAGATGTCCAGGAACTCTTTCTCACTCCTCATTCCCATGTCTAGAAAGCTATGCTCACGTTGGGAGAAATAGACAAGACTAGACTCTCCTAGTAGGGAAGGGCTGAAAGCTTAGAGGTCATGTGACCATTCCTTGCTATACAGCTAGGGAGAGAGAGAGAGAGAGAGAGAGAGAGAGAGAGAGAGAGAGAGAGAGAGGTCTGAGGGTCATGTCACACAGTATGTGGTCACAAAACAAATGAACAGCCAAGAAAAGGCTCTGGAGAGGCAGGCTGAACTCAGAGCAGTGGCTCCAGGAACCCCACCCTGTCTGGCCCCCAGCTTACCTGTGGGGGTTCGTAGGGTACAACCACGCTTTGCCTGCCGGTGACAGGGTCATCCACATACTGGGAGAGGTTGTTGCCTTCTACTCGGATGAGATGGCTAGCCGGGGCAGACTGTCCTGCCAGGAGGGGACATAGCTTTAGAGAGCGGCACATCCTCCAGCCTGTCACCCCGTACCAGGTGCATGGCAGAGCTGAGACCATAGGGCTTGTCCCTGTGAGAGTCCCAGACGAGGCTCAGAGCTGTACAACCCTCATTCAGGTGGCCTTGAGCCTGGCAGATGCTGTTCCCAGATCTTCTGACCCTGGGGGTGTTGCGGGCTTCTCCAGGAATGCTGCAGGAATGCTTGCTCTACAAGGCTCCCCAGGGTCAGCTGGTCCCTCAAGCTTCTCCCAAGCTACACCCCTGCTGGAACAGCAGCCTCTGGGGCTGCAGCCAGTGCTGAGGAAATGGACTGGAAGGGATGGGGCGGGGCTCCTGCTCAAAGTTCCCGCTAGCGCCACCAGCCCACTCATTGGCCAACATCTCTCAGTTGCACTGCTGGCCGGGTTTCCCCTTCAGTTGGGCCCTCAGGCCACTGGCCATGGTGCTATAGAGGTTGGGGACCCACAGTGGAGAGAGGGTGCTCACCTTCATTGAAGTCCCTGCCAAGCTCGTGGTTGGGGCAGCGTTTAACGATGTCGGTCACGTGCTCTGCCTTCTTGTAGACAGGCATGGCTCTGATGGCCGTGCCCGGGGGTGGCGGCGTGGACACCTTGATCTGGATAGGGCACGTCTTGGCAATCTGACAATACAGCTTCTTCAAAAGTGGGGAGTACTGGGGGGAAGAGAAGAGCCAGGTTGAGCTCACAGCCCAGCTCCGCATGCTTGTCTGGGCACTTTCCACAAGACCCCTTTCCCAGGCACCCTGAAAAGGCCTGCTCCCATGTGTGCCTTCCTTCAGACATCCTTTCTCCAGAACACAGAGATGGCTATGCCTGCTGCCCACTTAGCAACCTGAATCCCAGAGGCTGCAAATGGTGGGCAAGGGTCAAGGATGAGAAAGTACGGGAGGACAGTGGGGATCCGTCTCTGTCTTGTTTCCCCAGCAGAGCTCTTACGCTTGGCTGCAGAGGTGGATCTGGAGCGTTTGAGCTTGCTCGACAAGCCCACAGTTGCATTTTGCTGCCTTGCACAGAAGAAACACTCTGTAGGTAGACGGCTTACGCCTTCCACTCTCTGGGCCAGCACGGCCTTGCAGGGTGATCTGTCACATCAGCACTATTCCACCAACAAAAGCCACTGAGTCCAGGTAGCCAAGCTTGACAGCTGTGTGCGGCATGACCGGGTTTTCCGACCCTAGAACCTGACTGGACCTAAGATCATGCCAGGGCGGCAAGGTCATGCCATTCCGGCAGGGTCATGCTGCTATTCCTCCAACCATCCTGGGGCCCAGGTCACCCATCTAAGGACCAAACTGGCCCTGAGGAGGCCACTTCAGGTATGTCCATTTATGTATACACTAGCTGACCCTCCCTTGCACTCCTGAAACCCCTGGAGACTCCTCACACCTTCTTCTCCAGGGGCAGTGGCGGTTCCCTTGGGTTTAGAGGGGATTTCTACGGTGCGCCGCTTCCTCTAATGTCCCCATTGACTTAGAATTATGAGTTACATCAACCTGGAAAATGTTCACCGTGCCCAATTGTGACAGTTGGGGAAACTGAGGCTCGAGATGGAGAGTTGTCACAAAACTGGGAAGAGCAGGTGATGCGCACATACTAAGAGTCTTTCCTTTGCAAGGGACAGTGGGGGATCCTGACCACCCGAATCCTGTCGGCTCAAGGTTTCCCATAAGAGGCTTACCCAAATATCACATACAATGGGTAAATGCAAGGAAGGGGAGGTGGGAGGAGGTACCATGAAGTAGGTCCCTCCCATTCTATTTAAAGAGCAAGCGAGGCTCACTCTCAGGGCCCTGCAGAAGCCCTGAGGGGTTTGTTTTGAAAAGCAGCTGAGAAAAAGAGTTCTAGTCAAAGCAGCAGCTCGGGGCCACACCAGGGAGGCCAGTTTGACTTCTTGGGGTGACATGAAGTTCACAGTGTGGGGATCCCCACAGGCAGACCAGCGGAGTGCCCAGGCCTCTTAGTCACAAATGAAGGCTCCCCAGCAAGGCTCAGGCTCAGACGATTGTGCTTGCTCTCCTGTCGGGGAGGGAGGACCAAGACAGTCCTGAACTCATAGGGGCTTCACCTGAGGCTAACCAAGTGACTGTTGTTTGCCCATTGCGGAGGATAAGAAAATGGGCTCAGGGTTGGGGGTGGAACTGGGTCAAAGTCACCAGGAGCAACAAAAAGAGGTTGTTAGCCAGCCTTTGAAGTCCCCCGTTCTGGTTCGGGAATGTAGGTTGGATTGCCCTAACCGCAGGACCACCTGTCAGGTTTGCCTACCACTGACTTACCACAAGACCCCCAGATGCCAGCCATGTGGCAGAGTGCCAGCAAGGTCAGACGCCTCGTGTTCCAGCATGGACGCTCTCACTACCAGGTGAGGTGATAGGTGAGTTGGTACAGCTGATGGGCACACGGACCTGGGGGCTCCTACCCCAGAGGTTCCTTCCTCTCCCGCGCTCATGACCTGAGAAAGGTTCATAGACCCACCGGGGCCTGAGCCAGGATGGGCTGAGAGCAGGGCAGGTATGGTGGTGCCTTAGGCCACATTCCTGGGAAGCCCAAACATGCCTGGCGGGAGGGACCGTGCATTAGGCTCACCTCTGTGCTCCTATCAGGATGGAGCCAGGCTCAGGGCACAGCCCAGCCACGGAGGGAGGCATCAGGGCTCCCTTCAACCACCTACTCCTGAGCAGTGCCTTACCACAGTGCCCAAGTATCCCCGGGGCCCTGCCCCAGCCCTCCCCCCTCCCCCCACTGCCCTCTGAGGATCTAAGTCCCGAAGCCGTCCACCCTGCTCAGAAGGTGGCTTTTGTACCTATGGGTGCCCTGGGATGGGTGTGGGGTGGCACAGCCCTCCATGGCTTACAATGGGACCCTGGCGGGGGTGGGGGAGGGTGATCTGGAGAAAGCTAGGGAACCGCTTCAGAGTAGCAGGGCTGGTAAGGGACTAGCCATAGATGCCCCTCCCTGGGGAGGAGCTTAAAGTGCCAGGAGCTGTCCCTGGTACCAAGACAGCGGCTGCGGCATGATAATCTCTCAGAGAAAGAATCACCTGATGTCAAGTCATCTCTGGTGGTGCAAGTGTCTCACCGAGCCAGTGTGGACGGGATGAAGCTACAGGAGGTTACTCTCCCTAGAGCAAGGCAAACACTTCACCTCACTTTTTGCGCCCTCAGGTGGCATCGCTATTAGGTCAAAAACAGTGGTTTTTGAGGCGTTGGGGCTCACAAACACTCGCTAGCCCTACACTGGCCATAGGTTAAATCTGTGGGTATCTATTTTAGCCAGGAGTAGGGAGTTTGAGGGTGGGGTGCCGAGGCTTCCCCGCATCCTGGAGGGCCAGATGGTAAAACCAGCGGCCACAGGGAAAGACTCCAGGATACTCAAGACCTGAGACCAGGAGGTCGCCAGTGCTCCCCTTCCTGGGCAGAGTTTGTGGGGTCAGTCCTCAGGGTCAGACTCTGAAGAAGGGGCAGGAGGGTGGATATCTCTTTTCCAGAGTGTCACGTGAGAAGGCTTCCTCCCTGCTGCCCTCCTCCTGCCTCTCCATCCCTAGAACCGCTAGATGGATGTGTTTCAACAGATTCCGAGCTGATAAAATCTTATTTATCTTCGGCTGTTGACACAGAGCCGTCCAGACTTGCCTGCGCGGATGCGTGTGTTCCGCGGGGCTTGCAGGAAATACTTTGCCCAACATCGGGGCAGAGCAGACGTCCCTCCCGCCGCACTCCTCTCCCGAACCCTCCTCCTTCGCTCCCTCCCTGCCCCCACCCCAGTCCACTATAGTCCCCGCCTGGCTGGAAGCCCCTAGCCTGGCAGGGCTGGTGCAGGGTGGTGGGTGAGAGGGCGGGCGGGGGCGGGCGCGGCACAGGGCTGTTAATTTCCTCGCACCCGCTCCCAGGCAGCTGGGTGCCCGGCACAGGCAGGTTTGGGCAGGAGGACAGTAGGGATGTGATAATAACTTGTCTGTCATTTTCTCGGGACATGTAGCGTCTTGAAAACCGCAAATACCGTTAACCAGCTTGGGTGAATCTGTTAGGACAGATTCTGAACGAAAGGCAGTGGTGGGGGCTTTATTTTTTTAGTTTTTTTTTTCATAGCCCACTTTTATATAGTTTGTGTGTGTTTGTACGTGTCTGGACTCTGGACCCCCCTTGAGAATCAGCCCCATGGTCACAGGCTTTTACTCTTGCTAGGACAGATCCACAGAGCAGGGCACGGAATCTGGTAAGCTCAGACTGATCTCTTAAATCTGGAGGGACCCAGGTCCACAGCCCCTAAGTTGTACCTCCCCTCCCTGTTCCCTTTCCCCTCAAGAAAAGCCACTGGGAGAGCCGCAGACCCATGGATCCCATCAGCCGATAACAGGTCCCGGGCAGCCACTCTGTGGGCGTATCTTAGCCTCAGCTGAGTTCGCTCTCATGATCATTCATGTCCATGATCAATCAGGGGACATCTGAGTCTGGGGTGGGTGCTCACACAGGCTAGGCCTGATAGGACAAGGGTCTACACCTAAGCCCTAGGGAGGGGATGATGCCCAGATGACATCGCTCAGCCTGTGCCAGAACACCTCCATGCCAGGATATAGGCTGAGGGCAGGGAGAGTCCATGTTCTACGAACCCATCTTCGGAGGACCCAGGCTTCAATGCCTAACCCTGCCAAATGCGCAATAGAGGCAGTAGTCATTCCTAAAGAGCTGAAGCAATCTGAGGGAGGGTAGAGGACCCCAGGAGCATCTGAAGCCTGAGTAGGCCATAGTCTAGAAACAAAGACCCATTCCCCTGAGGAGAAGCAGGCCAGGAGCTAGCTGGGGCACTCCTCAGGAGCTGGGCAGCTTGTCCCACCAAACAAACAAGCAGGAGCCATATGGGTATCCTGGTAGCCTGTGCCCTCTTTCACACCAAGACTGTGGAGTCAGAGGGCCCAGGTCATGGGGTTTGGGCCTGCTTAGCCTCTGCATGGCAGAGAACCTTCCAGCAGTTTCCGTCCTAGGCTAAGGAGCTGGGAAGCAGATGGAGGGCCCGATAGAGCTGTCTCAGAGGAGAAGGGGAGGGCGATGGTTGAGAATCTGGAAGGAATGCACGGTTGAGGGGTCCACACAGAAACCTGAGGAAGGGAAGGAGCCCTGTCCATGCCATTTCCTGCAAGGCTTCTGGGTCTACTTCGACTTCCTGGGAACTAGAAGTTGGCTTCCAAAAGCTGCCGTCTGAGCTGGGGTAGATCGGTAACCAGACCTTGTCATGTTGCATTTGTTCTACATCTCTGGTTCCTGGTAAACAGCTCTCAAAATCCAGAGACTCTTCAAAGCAACAGTGCCTTTTTATGCTAATGACAAGCTGAGGGCTGCTTCCCTGAGTAGCTCCTGGAAAGATCCAGGCGGTATATGTGCACCCAGCCCCAGCCTTTGGGAAGGAGCAGAGAGCATGAAGGTCAATTAGGTCCCAAATGTCAGGTGATTTATCATGGCTCCATAATGAAGCCTCTGCATTAACCCCAAAGGACAGGACTTGGTCAGCTTCTGGACAGCTGGACATGTGCAGGTGCCTGGATATGGTAGCCAGAGAGGACCAGGAAACTATATCCTTTCTCTACCTTGGCCCACACATTCCTTCTCTACCCCCACTGTACCCCGTATATCTCTTTGTCTCCCTGGGTAACTAGACAAGC